TTTTAAAAAATGTTATTTTTATATTTTTAAATATTTTCTTTTCCATTAAAATTTTATTATTATTTATTTAACTTTTATTATTTATTTTTATTATTTGATAATTCCCCAACAACTAGGCAAAATTATTACATATATTTTTTTTTATAAAAAATTTAATTTTTAATTCCCTCCAACATTTAGGCAAAAATTTTAAAATCTTTAATTCTTAATTTAATTAATTAATTATTAATTATTAATTTATTGTTTTTTACATTATTATTATTATTATTATTATTATTATTTAAAGTTGCATGAAAATAAAAACAAATAAATTAGCATATCCTAAATCCAACTGCATGAAAGTGAATTGTCAGAGATTTTAGTCGCAAACAATGTAAATTATACAAAATATGAAGAACGCGAACACTAAGTACCGAAATGAACCGAATCAAAGATCTAGTAGCAAGCAAACCCAATTTGTTTTAAATTTTTACTTTAGTTTTCCTAATGAATTTGCTTTTCAAATTGTAAAGGATCTAAGTTAACAACTTTAAAGCCATATAAGGGAAAGCAAAAAGACTGCATGAAAATCTAATAGCTAATTGACATTGCATGCAACAATACCACTTCACATGCTCTCAAGTTTCAAGCATATGTCCAAGAATTTGCTTAAAAGAAACTTTTTAAATCTGAATAACTATTAAAACCAATTAAAGAAAGATTTTAACTAGATTTTAAACAAGAAAATGCAGAGAGAATCGGCTAGGCAGCCAAGAGGCGAACAGCTTGGAAGCTTCCAGTCCATGGCTGTGCAAAGGACATGACGACTGACCAAAATGCTTTTCACATTGGCCGTTGTTTTCTGTGTTTTTTTCTTCTTCTTCCTCACGTTTGGTTCCTCTTTCCAGTTCTTCTTTCTTCACGTGCTGCCCCTTTTTTTTTTGTTACTGCTTCTTCTTCTTTCGCCTGCTGTCTTTTCTTTCTAGTTCTGCCCAGTTTTTCGCTGCTGCCTCCTGCTGCTGCCGCCTCCTTACGCCTGCACGTACTGCTTGAGAACAAACCACTTCTAAATGCCCACATCCCCCTCTACTTCTTTTTCTGCTGGTTGGCGCTTCTTTCTTGTTTATCGTTTCTGCATCAATGTTCTTTCTTTTTCTTTGTTTTTCTTTTCTTTTTCTGGTGCGTTGTTTTTTCATCTTTTTCTTTTTTTCCTCCTCTTTCTTTTTTCTTCACGGCTTTCTGTGTTTTGCTGTAGCCGTGCCACCCTCCCTCCTGTCCTTCTCTTCTTTTCCGTTCACTGCTGCATTCTCTTCTTTTTTTTTTTTGCCTTCCTTCCCTTCTCTGCTCTCATCTTTTCATTGTTTGGTCCACGCCCTCCCCATTTTTGCTTGTTTTTTTTCTTTACTTTCCGCCTGCCTTTCTTTTCTTTTCGCTTTAGATTTCTTTTGTTTGCTAGTGTCTGTGTTTTTTTTCATGTTTACTTACTCAGTTTGGTTCCTGCTTCGGCTTTCCCTTCCTTCTCTTTTTCTCTTCTTCCTCTCCCGCTGGCATCGTGCTTGCTCTCCTCTTCTTTCTGCTCTCTCCCGTTTCTAGTTTCTATTTGTTTTTTCTTTTTGGCTTTCTTTCGTAAACGTACCCCTTTCTTTTTGGCTTTGCTTTTCTTTGTTCAGTTTTCTTTTGCTTACCTCTTTCAGTTTCTGCCAGTTTTCATGCCTATGCCACCCACGTTCCTGCAATTTTTCATTTCAGTTGTTTTCCTTTGTATGGCTTCACGTGTCTTCATGCAGTCATTTTTTGCAATTCACGCGCCATGCCGTTTGCCTTGTCTTTTTCATGTGTTCCTCTCTTTGTTTTTTCATGGCTTAGCTATTTTACACAAGGCCAAATGGCCATTGTTCGTAGTTGGCCTTCAACAAAGACCTAAAGGCCTTTATTCATTTTGTTCTCTCTCTTTTTTTATTTTTTATTTTTTAGATTTTCAAATTTTATTTTTTATTTTATTATTTTTTTTGCCAAGCTTTTTCTAATTTTTTTTATTTATTTATCATTTATTGTTTTTATATTATATTATTATTTTTTATTATATTATATATATACTTATTATTATTATTTATTTGATTTTTGTTTAATGACCAATTATGGGTCATTAATGGACTTTAAGAATTAATATTTTATCGGGCCTATATAATGGAGCTCACTATGGGGCTCATATTGGGCCTTACCTTGAACAATTAAAAATGATCCATTAATGGACCCGACAAATTGATAACTAAGGTCCAATTACAAAAAATAGACCCAGTTTTAAAAAAATAAAAATAAAAAAAATCATGAAAAAAAATAGGTGTCTACACTTGGGCATCAAGATGTTTGACAAAGTAAAGATCTCAAAAAAAAGATCTTCAAAATTTTTCAACAAATTCAGTTATGGAGATTTTCCTAGTAATTTTGGAATTTCAATTCCTATATAAAGACCCTAATGTTTAATCAGAAAATCACCAACAATAAACAAGTAATCAAGCAATTAAAAGAGCAATCACATAAAAGTTCAAGAAAATAATTGTTTTTTGGGTTTTTGAGCCTAGTGGTTTTGGAAATTTGATCCAATTTTTGGGTTTTTTTTTAAGTTGATCTTTGGGAAATCTTAGATTCTGTTTGAAATTTTTTGAATTTTGATTTGATTCTTGGGTTTTTGGGTTTGTTTCAAATTTTTCTAAAGTTTTTGGGAATTCTATTTTTTTTTTTGGGATTTTTTTTTGAATTTTTGTTTTTTCTTTGAATTCTTCGAAAAGAGTTTAAATTTTTTTGTGGATCTTTATAGTGGTCAGATGATTTCATGATGGTCGAGTTTTAGGTTTTAGGGTTTTTCTAGGGAAAGTTTGAATATTCCAACTTTGTTTGAATTTTATGATGTTGAATTTTGGGTTTTTTGGTCAAAAATTGGAAATAGTTGATTTTTTAATGGGCAGTTTAAAAAAAGGTCAAAGGAAAGGAAGGCTAAAGAGAGAAGAGGAAGAGGAAATCTAAAGAAAAGATTGATTTTTTGGCTTTTACACAATGCTTGGTATGAAGTCATTTTGGAGATGAACCTAAGTTTCAACCTATGTGACCTGCACACCAACTTGTTGCTGACCCAACCTAATTGTAGGTTTTCATTTTTTTTCCTTTTTCTTTTTATTTTTATTTTATGTTATTTTGTTTTTTATTGTCAGTGTTTTTGATTTTTTAATTTATTATGTTTAATTGCGATTGAATTAAAAGTGATGAGAACAAGAAAAAAAACAAACTTTGGTATGATTTATTATGATAATATTTATTTGCATTTTCTATATATGTTTGCATGAATTTTATTTATTATGATATTTTGCATCAATTTTATTTATATATTTGTATGATAGGCATGGATTATAATTTATATATTTGCATGATATGTTGCATAGATTTTTTATTTGCATGATGTTTTTGCATAACTTTTGCATGTTTTAATTATTGATATTATTTAATGATATTTTTCTATGATATTTGGATAATATTTTTATATGATATTATTTTGTAAATAAATAAAGGAAATTTGATTTTGATTTTTCGTACGAAATCCGACAATAAAGCCTCTTCAAGTAAATAACGAATTTATCTTAAATTTCTTGAGGTAAGGGATATGTTTTTTTGGTACGAACCTAAAAACTTTTTTCTGATATATAAATATTGAAATTCATAAAAAAAAAATTATCTTTGATTATAACTTAAATAAGATAGAATGTAAGTAAAATTGCACCAATTTTGGATGTTATGGGGTGTTAAAATCTTCCATACACATAATTGACTATCGAACTTAGTCTATTAATGTAGATCAAAATCTATTCTTTTTAGGGATCCTTAGTCAATGATGGATCTTGACATCTAATCTTGATAAGGCCAATTAAAATTTATATATTTATATTTATTATGTTATTCAAATTCAAAAATTAATGTTGAATACAATATGTGTTCAATAAGAATATACTAATTTTTTCTTTTTTTTTTTTAATTTTTAGACTATCAATCTATATATTCACATTTATTACATATGTATCAAACACAAATACTTCTAAAAAAAGAAGATTCTAATTAATTAATATAACTTATTTAAAGTTTTATCAAACCAAAAAAAAAAATGAAAAGGGTCACAAAAATATAAAAAGATAAGTGCGAATTAAAAGAAAAATACACCTTTGGTATTTGATTGAAACATTGTAATCTTATTGAGAAAACTAAAAAGTTAATTTACTTTTTTTTTTTTTAAGTTTACATTAATGTGACTTAATTTTTATTACAAATTTATTATTTTTAAGAGTTCGTGAATAATGATCACAAATATAATAAATAGATAATTAATAATTTGATTTTAATTCCTCATAAATTACAATTTTTAAACTTAAATTAAAAATAAAAAAAATTAACAAATAACAATTTTAATGTGAGAGCTAATTAAATTAAATTTAAATATATAAAATAAGTATAGTATATATAATATAATATATATTAAGAGGTTGAGGGGTACTAGAAACAATTGCTTATGCAATTGTCTTTCAACACCTACTCGTATAAATAGGCACATTATGCTGTCATATGAAAAAGTGAAAAATGTTAGGGTCGGTTTCCTTTCGTTCCCCCCCCCCCCCCCCCCCCGCCCATAAATAATAGATTATGAAGCTTTAAAAAGTTAAGAAAGTTAAAATTTATTACCAACAGTTGCCTGTTTCATCGGCTTTATAGGCTGTCAGTTTTTTAAGCTATTATGACTAGGTCCATTAATAGAACAAATGTTTAAGTAGCTCCTTATTTAACTATCCGTAGTGGGGGCATTAAAGGGTTTGCAAAATTTTAGGGCCCAAGGCCCCCTCAAACTCCAACGAGACCTTACCTTTGCCCTTAGTCGAACTTATTATAATTTTGAAAATAATAGATTTGCATAAGTGATCCATCACACATAAATAAAAAAAATTAATAATAATTTTATATTTTTTATATGTAATGGACAAGTTCTTAAATGTTATAATTTTTCAATATCTAATACAAGTGGAAGATGAAATATTTCTAATAAAAAACCAAGCTAAAGATATACATCCACACTCAAGTAAATTCTCTCTCGCTATCTTGCCACCAAAGTTCACGAGCTCGTTTCTCCCACAACGCTGTGAGCTTAAGCTCCTCTCTTAGTTCAGCTTCAGCCCTTTCCCTGGCTTCCTCACAAGTTTCTACTCCTGCATTGCACTTTTCTGCTTCTTTCTGGTAGTGTAAGGAGGCTCTTTTAGTATCCATTGTTAGCGCCCAGCTGCGCTCCAAGGTATCATTGCTTACAATCTTCTGTAAAGCAATCTCCTCAGACAGTAAAGCTACAATGTCCTTCTCCAGTTCTTCATTTACATCTGGATCATTTTTACCGCAATCTGCAAAATAAAGAAAATCATTTGAACAGAAAGAAAGATCTGAACAAAAGGAATGGGATTGGGATATACTAATATTTCAATGAAATTGTGGTCAAGAAAAGTTGAGCACGTGGTGTGGATGAATAGGTATTTTGACTAAAGATTGGGTTTTGAGGTTCTATGACAAAGTTCAGGTTTGACCTATCGTGTCTAATGGCAACTAGGGGTGTAAATGATACATTAAGACTCGCAAGCTACTCGAGTTCGATTCGAATAAAACTTGAATTCGGTTCGATTATTATCGAGTCGAGCTCGAATTCGAGTAGCTCGACTTATCGATCGAGCCGAGTTCGAGTATTCTTATATCCGACTCGAGTAACTCACAAGCTTAATCGAGCTTTTATATTTAAATTTTTTTTATTATTTTAATTAATAAAATATCTCGAATTCGAGTTCGAGTTCGAGCACAAATAATCGAACTCTTGTCGAATATAAGAATTGAGCTTATTTTAACATATTAATCAAGCTTAATCGAGCGAGTTCGAGTAGCTCGATTTCGATCATGAATCTAGCTCGAGCTAAGAAAATAAAACTCGATCGAGTTCGAGCCGAGTTGAGAGCCGAGCTCGAGCTTCTCACTATATCGACTCGACTCGATTACACCTCTAATGGCAACAATGAAATGTTATTGCAAGTAATCTGGGGTGAAATTTTCCCCAATTTCAGTCACTAGACCCAGCCCCCATAGAGCAAGAATGATAGCAGCTAGAAAATTTAAACAGAGGCAGATGAACTGACCTGAGTATGTGCTGTTGGCCAACCCTGCAACAATAATGAAAACACCCAATTAAAAGAGTGAAGCCTCAGGAAAATTAATGCAAGCAAAACCTATAGGATCACAGATACACGACATAGATAGTTTCAGTGGATCGAAGTGTGAGTTAAATGCTCATCTACATCATTGATTTTGAAGATATCCTCATTTGTCCCCTTAATGAGAATATTTCCTAAGTTAAATGCAGTACAGTAGTTATTTCTTAGTGAAAGATCTAACACAGTTTAAATCATATACCAAATGGTCCTAAACTATGCACCTATTCAAAATTTCTCCTTGAAGATATCAATTCAAGGGAAAGCCAAGACTATCTGCAATTGCAAATTTAATAGCAAACACTGCAGTAAGTAAACAGAATACAGTACCCACCCATTACGTTGGCCATTTAACCAGAAGAAACAGGGCAATACACCCAGAATGATACATTATGTTCCTGGCGTATGAAAGCATTTGAACTTACAGAATTTCTAAACATATCTACTTAAACCAAATCCAGAAAGAATTCAAGTGCACTGATCCATTATCCAACTTCAGGACCTTAAACACATAGAAAATACAAAAGTTAACATTCAGATTCAACTGGCTTTACCAAAAGGATGTTTCAACATTAAAACTCCCAATGTCATGACATAGCAGCGCAGAGCAGTCCCAGTAGTTTGCTGTTACTAAAGATGGTCATCTTGATCCATGCTTCACTTTATCATACCAAGCTTAGCCTCATAATGCTAGCTAACTGGGAAATAAGCCAATAACTACTTAACCAGATTAATTGTCATAGAGAGCCTTAACATGCCATAAAACCGAGTAATGGGCTGTTTATAATCAATCCCTATTCAACAGACAACAGATTGATAGTTTCCACACACTTCATGGCTACAAATCCATCATTCTATTCTGCCAATATTTATGTCTTACCGAAGTAGAATAGCTTTTTCCAGATGTAGTCACAAACCTATGTTACAGATCCAGAAATAGGAGAAGCATACAAACTCAGAGCATGATCATTACCAGTTCAAGAATGACACGTATATTAACCTTAAAAGGAAAACGCTTCAACAAGAAAATTAACGACTTGCAATTTCTAGAGAGGTTTCAGCTTTCATACGGATAGTCAAAGGAAAAATTCTGACTAACTAACCTGGTGGTAAAAGAAAGTCTGTCTCGTAAAAGCAATTACAAACACAAGAAGGACATGACGCCTGAGCCCTTGACTTCTCCTTCAGATGCCAGAACAGTGTTGGACCAACAATGTAACCAACCGAACATACACAAAGAAAAGCAAGAACATATCTTAAAACACCCTGACACCAAAACCTTTGCTCTGAGCTGTGAGCCATTCTATACTAATTCTACCCTTTATAAGGAAAAAAAAATCGGCTTTACTCAAAGCATTTCAAGATCTGGGGTCAAATACTTGGAGTCTCAAGACTACAAGTATAATACTCAAGAACACTAAAATTGTTTGCCAATGTACGCCGATTTTGCAAAAAATGTAAAGTACCCAGATTTCAGAATCTGCTTCACAGCGTAAGAAATGGACCAAGATTCATTTATCAAAGTAAAGCCTTCAGCTTTAATGATGCAAATCTCTCTTCTTTGAGTGAAAAAAAAAGTGTGTGCTTTGGTATTTTTTTTTGGAAAATTAAGGAAGACCCAGATCCCTGCAAAGTGCAAAGAAGAGGTTATTGGATTATGAGACTGTTATGATATTAGATTTTGAAACAGAAATCAGAGACGTTTAAAAGAGATAAAGAGTAATCAGCGTTTATGAGTTACTTGGGTTAATTAAGAACCCCTTTTAATCATTATGTTGGGTCACTTTTTTACTGGCTTTTGCTATGAAACTTTGTCCACCCGTCCCCAAATAAAAAATAAAAAAAAAAAAAACTCAATTTTGTGCAAAACTTTTTTATGAAATTAGAATAATAATTAAATATTACAATCATAAGTAAGAAATTATAAAATAGTCAATTAACAAATTAATATAATGAAATAAATTTAATATAAAATTAAATTAAATTTACGTAAAATTTAAATTTAAAACTTTAAAATTTTATAACCTTTTTTATTACAGTAAATTAAAACTTTATTGATAATTTTACGCCAAAATTTCTTTTTGAATTAGTGCCATATTTTAATTATCAGCCAATGAAAAAAGTAGTGGGCTCTGTCTTATTGCCTTAGATGTTCTCTTTGTTTTGTTTCCTCCTTTGCTTTTTGGCTAAGCTTTGTTTACTACTCTTTAATGCTTTGTTTATAATTCAATTAAATAAAATTTTGGAAAATACAAATTCAGCGGCAAGTTTGAGAGATTCTTTGTTTTTTCTTTTTTTTTTTTTTCCATTTTTTAATTTCATATGATTATGATGTTGTTTTTGTCTCACTGTTGTTTATGTAAATTTTAATTAAAGATTTTTATATCATTAAATTATCGATTATTTTACCATGGAAAGAAGATATCAGATTTAATGCTAGCATGAATTTTTTTTTAATTTTGAGAAACAAGAAAGTTTTAAATTGAATTTTTTTATTGTTTTTCAAATTCATTTATCTTAAATTCTAATTATTTTCCTTATTTAAATAAATGATCAATTATCTAAATGCGTTTCTGAAAATTAAAAAGGTATACTATCAATATATTCTAATTTTCATTTATTAACTACAAAGGATTAAAAATAAAAAATTAATAGATAATGATGTAAATATTTTGGACTTTGAGGGCAAAATAGTCCTTGTATCATATCAAAAGATATTTTGCTATTAGAGGCATTCTGATAATTTAGTAGAACTGACATGTTCAATCCATTGATACCTAAATTCTCAGAAGACCTTCAAATATGGACCTGAGGGTCCATCTCAACTCCTCCTTTGTCAAATGGCTATGCACATCTGTCACCCATATATCGGATACTTAAGACCACGACAAGTTAGACCTGTTTCATGTCAGGTCAGATCTGCCCACATCACCTCAAATACCAAACCCCGCCCTCTCACCAGGTAAGGGCATGCCACTCATTTCTCTCATTTCCTTTAATCTATTTGCAACTCTTGCTATTCATCTCATTTTTTACTAACTAATTTAAGTGACGGAGTACAAACGTCTGCAACTTCCGACCTTTGCTTTTGACCATTATTATACAGGCCCCCTCGGTCCGCTTTTTTATTGGAACACTTTGTTTTGCGGGTGCCTACCCTAAAATCTATTTTTGGCACAAACATCATGACGCGCCGAATAGAGGCTTTCTAAAATGGCACCTAAAAAGAAAACCGTGCAAGAGAGACACCAAACCAGTGTCGCTGAAACCTCAAAACGCTTAAGCCCATGGTTGAGCAGTTCGATACACTTGCCAGACGACTCCAAAGCTTGACAAAGCTTATCCATAATAGGCATAAGTATGAAAAAAAATCTTCAAACTAAAATTAAACAATCATTCAAATTTTTATTATTTTATTATAATAATTAAATCTATAATATTTTTTTTTTCAATTGAGTCTTAGAAAATGAAAATTGATTAACCACCAACATTTATTTTCATTCAATTAAGAGTTCAATTGAATGAAAGTTTAATTATGTAAAATATTTTTTTTTAAATTCAATTAAATTAAAATAAATATTTAAGAACTCAATTAATTACTATAAAATTATATAAGTTTGAATAATTATTTAATTTTTATATAAAGGCTTTTTTATACTTAAGCCTCTGCAATACCTTAGCTTCACCACCCTCATCGTCTAAGGAACCTTCAAAAACTCCACAAAACCAAATATCCACCTAGAAATCTCCCACCAAGCATGATAGTGACGTTGGCTCATCAGCCTTAGTAGAAGTGACTTTAAAAAATCATCACCTTTAATTAAGAGTATAAATGATACATTAATATTCGCAAGCTACTCGGATTCGATTCGAATAAAACTCGAATTCAATTCAATTATTATCGAGTCGAACTCGAGCTCGAGTAGCTCGACTCATCGATTGAGCTAAGTTCAAGTATTCTTATACTCAGCTCGAGTAACTCGCGAGCCTAATCAAGCTTTTATATTTAAAATTTTTTATTATTTTAATTAATAAAATATCTCAAATTCGAGCTCGAACTTGAGCACAAATAATCGAGCTCTTGTTGAGTATAAGAATCGAGCTTATTTTTACATATTTTTGAGTTTATTCGAGCGAGTTCGAATAGCTCGAATTCGATCACGAATCGAGCTTGAACTAAAAAAATGAAACTCGATTGAGTTCGAGCTGCGAGTTAAAAGTCAAGCTCGAGCTTCTCACTGTAGCGACTCGATTACACCCCTACCCTCAACCTCTAAAACAATCATAACAACCTAAAAAACAATGGTCAAATTGTGAATTTAAATCCTATATTATTACAAAATTTAAAATTTAATCCTTAAACTATTATTATTTTAAATTTAATCCTTATACTATTTGAATTTGATAATATTAGTCCAAGTGATAGTACTATTATATGATCTCCCTTAATTTTGATGGCATGATCGTTGATTATGTTATATGGCATTGACTTTAATGACGTGGCCATTGACCATGCTGACATGGCATTAATTTGTTGATATGACAATTGAGATTAATGAAATCACTTGTTAAATTATACAAATAGTCCTTATATTCATATAAAATTTAAATTTTAATCTCTATATTCGTATGAAATTTAAAATTAATTCCTTTAATATAAAAAATATTTTAATTTTTAAAAATTTTTTAGATTTTAAAAAATATTTTAGTTCCTTTAATATAATAGCTTTTATTATATATAATTAATTATTAATAATATAATAATAATATTATTATTATTATCATTTATATTAATCAATTATAATATTAATCATTTAAATTAGTATATCAAATTTAATATTATTTTAATTAGTATAAATATATCAAATAAAAAAATTTATAATGAACCAAACTATTGAATAGAATTGCATTTATAATCCAAAATAGACCACGAATAAAATGATCATTCCATCCAACTAAACAAAATAAAATATTCAAACTTAGATTCTTACAAGTGGCTAGCTTTTATCCATTGTGGCAACGTTTAGGTCTAAGAACCCAACTATTGGATGTGGGGAAGAAAAACAAGTAAAAAGCATTTTCAATAAAAATAAAAAATGAAAAGTCGTAACCAACTTTTTTTTAGGGTGTGATTGGCCACCCAAAAATTTTATCCTTTTAATAAAACATTTAAAACAAGTTAAAAGTTCATTAAAAGAATATTTGTAGTCTACGAAAATTAGAGTTGAGTTGGAGAATCAATTACGCATGAAGAATGATTAGCACCGCTACAGCTCCTGTTGAAAACGGTACCAATTGATTGCATGTTATCCTTAGATTTTGGTAAAAATGGTCTTACTTTAATGTTTAGATTATTTCCTCACTTTTATTTGTTTATTTCAAATAAATACTTGTTTGATGAAATATCCAATGAATAAAAATGTTGAGTTAGTAAACTTTTTGGTGAATTTTACTTAGTTTACATGTGTTTGATCCAAAACAGAAATGGTGGAGACATTTCCCTTTTGATTGGCCAAAATAATTTGGCATGAACAATGGGTTCAAGGTTTTGGTCAAACCCTTGATCATGGCTTGGCCGAACCTCTTTTGTCTTTAAACCTTTAGTGTTTGATCCATTTTTATAATGTTTATTGTATATATATTTAGTTTGTGATATGTTTGTAAATATGCCTAAGTCTTGATTTTTTGTATTCATCCATACCTCATGTATTAAAGGTTGCATTTTTATCAATGGCATTTCTGTTATTTTGTTACTTTAAAATCGCAATGCAAACTTTAAACCCCAAACCACCATGCAAACCCTAAACCACCATGCAAGCCCGCAAACCTAAACCCTAACCCTAAACCCTAAACCAAAATCATAAACCTAACCCTAACCCTATATGCTAAACCTAACCCTAAACCCTAAACCTAACCTTAAACCTTAAAACTTAAAACTAATCCTAGACCTTAAACCTTAAACCCTAGGCCCTAAACTTTAAACCTTAAACCTTAGACCCTAAAACTAAATCCTAAACCTAGACCTTAAACCCTAAACCCTAAACCAAACCTTGAACCCTAAACCATAAAACCTTAAACCTTAAACCCTAAACCCCAAACTTAACCCTAACCTAAAACTCTAACCCTAAACCCTAACCCTAACCCTAACCCTAAACCTAACTCTAAACCCTAAACCTCAATCCAAGCCATCATGCATCTTGTTATTCATGTTTAATTATCATGCATACATTATATGTATATATTTATGTTCATGCATATTATGCAAATGTTTTATAAATGAGGTTTTTCAAAGAAAAACGTTTTAAAATAAGATAATATCTCAAGTAAAAATGACTTTTGAGATTTGGCCTAAATATGGCCTAAATCTCTCAATGGTTATCGTTTATACGAGATTATATTGGTTTTTGTGAGACAATTTGAAAACTCCTAAGATATAGGCATTTTTGAAACTTTACCTAAATATATAAATGTGGAAAAAGTGTCTTGATACTTAGGACTTTTTATCTTGATCCAAAAATAAATTGTTTTTGTTTTCAAAAATATTTAAAAAAATTTGCTTTAAAGAAAATCACCTTTTGGAATAAACAAATAAAAGTGAGCATTTAATCTAAACATTCAAGTAGTATCATTTTTACCAAAATCTAAGGATAACATGTAATCAATTAGTATCATTTTTAATGCGAGTTGTAGGGGTGCTAATTTTTCTCTACGCGTAATCGACTTTTAGATCCAACTTTGATTTTTGCTGATCGTAAATATTCT